TTGTGGCCTCTCTTAGTGGCTGGACTAGTAGTGCCGCCCTGGTCTTGCTCTTGCCTTGCCTGTATTCCTTTGAGTGGTCTTTAGACCCTTGCCTCAGAGGCTGGACTAGTAGTGCCGCCCTGAGCTGCTTCTTCTCCTGTGAGGCACTGCCCCTATATAGTCTAGGGGTGTGTCAAATGTAACTTATGTAGTTACTATAGACTATACTGGATTGTGCCTTAGAGGGTACAACCCCTAGTCTATATATCTCGGTATCCTTCTATTTTACTCAACTACTCATCTTGATAATGACTACCTTGTATGATGCTAGCATGCAATGGAAACTGCTCCTTGATGTTCCCCTCTTTACAAGACCAGCTGCTGCAGCTGCATGAGCCGCTCCTTGTTGGCTGGCTGTTGACAGGAATATTGGTGAGTCATGTGTCATACACCAAGGAGGTGATGGATGTCAACAAATATACATATCTATGTTAGTTAGGTGAGATTTGTTACAGCTAAACTAGGTCAGTTGTGTAATAATTTGTCAGGTCTAAGTATAGAATCTAAACACTTGGAAAACCTCAAGTGTTAGTCCATGATCTTTACTAGAATGGTAGACTAGTAAGATAGCGGAAGTCTTGTAAAAACATGATTGTCAAGGTTGAATCACCTGAGTGCGTAACTTGTGGGTAATCAAAAGTTAATAATGGAAAGACATAACAAGGATTTATAATTCTAGGAAAAGTACCTATTCGCTAATGTACCTGTTCGTCACTATCGCGCTATGCGCCCTAAATGACAATGAAGAGGTGCGACTGTTCGCGTGACTGAAACGACTGTCCCCATGATGAGCGCTATTTGCTGACGTCATCCTACGGACTTATATTCTACAGTTGGATTCGACACTTTCTACACATAATTGACTTACAGAAATGCTAAGTAAGAATTATATCACAACAAGTTCCTAGAGGGTACAATACCCACTCATGTGTCACATGCGCTATTCTGACAATGGAGACATTGGGGGCCAAGGAGGGTCGCAGTCTGGCACAACACGAAGGGGAGATTGATACATTACCCACTGAGGCTATGGGGGCAAGGAGGTTCATACTGTCTATGGAAACCTACTGTAATGAATGAGTAATTCCTTACTGTGGCTTGCTACAGGGCGTACGACTCGAACAGTCCCGAACCATCGCCAGGGTTCCAGACCTTTCAGTTCGAGCCTCCTGGGCCTTTCCGGACCTCGCTACGACACATCGGGGCCCTTCGACACTTTTCCCGAACCTTCCGATCCTACGTGCAGGATCACCCTAGGCTCTCTATATATTGTGTGTTATTTCATTTTATTGTCATTCACTGGTTCACAGTTTCGCCATTGCCCTCCGCGCTACTCGGCAGTCCCATTCATAACACTTGGTATCAGAGCCACTTTCCTCACCCGCTGGGCTTCCGAGGGCATAACGTTTTTGGGTTGCGGAGCAACCTATTGCGATCGATTGTAAGGAATTTTTTTTTCAAGTTTGTGATTTGGAAAAATGATCAAAACTAAAAAAACCTTGCCTAATAAATTGTCAATACCTAAATATAAAACGTTTGTCATTGTTTCCATTTTTTCCCGTGACGTATTTTTGTCATTGACAAAAATAGGCTATCACTTCCCCAGCTAAGTGGGGGAAGTCGAAAGCCTATTATGTCGACAACACTCCGTGGGATAATAAATTTCATAATAGCAAGAAAAATATATTGCACTTATTATCTCCAGTTCTATCCATGTAGTAAATGGATGTTATTGGGCCAACAACATACATGAAGAGAAAATCATCAGCAAGCAATAAAATTTTGGCAAGCAACGATGCAATTCGGACAGCTTGGAATAGGAACGGCGTTTAACCGAAGCCCATTACGAAGCCACTTTTCAACTTTCATGAATGCTTGGAATCATGGATCAAATATACAATAATACCATGGGAATCAAAGGGGATCGGGAAATAAGGCAACAAATAAAGCAAGAAACAGTCAGTGAACACAAATTAGAGAATCATACAAGAAAGTAAGAATAAAGGGTTGCAAAAAACGGTGAAACGGAAGTCGAAATGGGCTGCAGCTCAATAAATCGTTGTAGATCTAGGTCGAAGTGGGATGTAGCCCCATGGGAAGGGGCAGGGAATGAATGCATGGGGAAATAGGGGAAAACAGGAAATCGGAAAGAAGACAAGGTATGGACGAGAGAAGAGGAGAAGGGCACGGCGAGAGGGTAGAATCCGTACCTTGAAATAGAGTTGAAATGTGTCCCGTGGTTCCTTAACAAGCTAGAGCACCTAGAGACCTAGAGAGATATTGGAAAAGTGAAAGGATGTATACTTGTTAGGAAAACAGCAAAGAACATAAGAAGAGAGGGACCTAGGGAAAGAAAGGAGGGAAAAGCTAGTATGATTATCAAACTAGGAGGTTGACGACATGCTAAGAAAGAAACGAGGACTTTACCCAACTATGGGATGGCCTTGGCTAGAACGCTAGAATAAAATTGCTGGAGGTGAGGAGGAAGCTGTGAGATCGAGGAATGGAGGAAGAAGAAAGATTGAGTGTGAGAAGGAGGAAGAAAAGTTCGAGAATGTGGGTGGAACGGCCAGGCTCTCGCAGCTCTGAAGGAAGTTCCATCTATTTTCTCGTTTCCATCAGAAACTGCCCAGCTAGATTGCAATTTGTGAATTAGTTTTCGAACTTATTAGGGCGTACTCTATATCTTTAGATCATTGCACGTGCTGCATCATTGACTACGGGGACTACAAGTTCGAAAATTCATCGTTTCGCGTATTGCAAGTTCCATAACCAAATAAACGGTGAAACTCAATGAAACTGGAAATATAGAATAGGCCCTCGTGATTCGCGTCATTGACGAAGCCAGGCGCGCTTTGACGAAAAAAAAAAATCCGAACGGGTGGCAGAACAAATTCGACGTTACTGGACGGCTACAGTATTATAGGTCAGAAATTTCGCGCGTGACGAGCCTCGCGACTAGGCGCAAAAAAACAAAACCTGCCAGGTGGCAACTTTCGCCACCCAGCAGGGAAATCACATCGCACAGTATCGAGAGTGACGATACTAAAACGAAAACGGAAACGAGATGAAGTAAGATATGTAGCGTAAGAATAAACAGTACACAAAAGTAACATAAGAATCTAAAACAGGAAATAGAAGAACCAGCTCTAGGTGGCGGTTTCCACACTTGACAGTCATGACATGTTAATAATTTGAATTATATAAAACAAAGAATATGAATTTGAATGGGTTATTTTTTTTGTAGTATACTAGCACAAGTAGTTTTGTTGTCTTTTTTTTTAATGCAATAGAGCTCCGCAACCCTAAGACGATTTCGTCGCCCCTTGTTTTTTTTTGGGGAGGAGAGCCATCCCCTCGAGGGCGGTTGTGTCCATCCTGACATGGCGAAAAATTTGAAGAGTGTTTCCGGTATGCTGCTCATTTCGCATATCGTTAAGTGGCTTCGTTTGCAATTTCGGGATTTTCGGCGCAGCAGCAACGACGATTCGGCTTGGTGTCCGAATGGAGCGAGGAGCTCGTCACGAGACGACAAGCTCGCGGATATTCCCAGGTGAAATGGAGTTCGTCAGGAGCGCGTATAGCAGACGTGGCTGCATGGTGAAGTGTAGCTGATGTCAAGGGCTCGGCGTTTCCGGCATGCGACACGCCGGTGAAGACGGGACTTCGGATACTGTTCAGCAACATGGCGTTGGAGTTTTCGGCATGACCAAGGATCGCACGGCAGCACACGTGGGGCTCAGGCACGGAAGATTTTTGGGGAGTACTGACCTCGAAATTGTTTCGCGTGACCTGCCTGCCCGGAGGTGTAATTCGTCTGCCCTGGAGTTTCGAGCTCAGCGAGTCTGGATCCCCGCAGAGGAAGCCATTTTCGTGGTCAGAACTTATACCCCACGATCTACGGAGGACGACCAGAAACTACCCTCGGATCGAGTTTAAGTGTCATCGCCGGGTCTCTACTAAAAGTCAACGACGAAGAGCTGTAGCAGAGAAGGAGAACGACTGGATAACAGCCGGGAAAAATTAAGAGTCAGCGGCAAACGGATCCTCCGACTGACTTGGCTGGGTCGCCCGATCTTCAACATCTCCACCGGGTGGTAGTACGATACATGCTATCGACTGCTCCCTGACGAATAAGGGAGGATGAGCCAGCGGATCACTCTGTGCTGGTGGATCGAAACATTTTCTGCGCTACTGGACAGGCGAACGATTGGTGAAAATCGGACGCAGTACAGTGTGAGGCGCGAGAAGAAGGTTAACGAAAATAACGAAAGATTTTTGTGACGACGATCGGACGGTACGCGGAGCTCGAGTCCGATACGAACGGCGAGGATGTGTCGCCGAGAACGACGGAGCTGCGAGTTTTTCAAAAGAACGTGCGCGCTACTGTTTTGAGGATGACGAACGTGGGCGCTGGGTGAACAGCGGCCTACGGGGGTATTTTTTGTTTGTGGAAGCAGCTGTTGAAGAAATTTGCTGCAGTTTGGAGCAGATTTCTTGAAGAGACGATTTTTTGAGGGAGGGGAAGGAGAATCCCTCAAGTAAGCTGCAAAGCTGTTGCCCGCGAATTAGACTAATTAATTCGCCCAACTACGATAGCGTTTGCGCTGACCTGAGTACGGGCACACGGCGATTCACCTCTGCTCTGGATGCATTCAATAAATGGAGCTTCGGGTTACTGTTGCAGTCGGAAAAGCGGGTTGGAGTGAGAGCGAAAATGTGCAGCGCCAGGCTGGCGCGAAAAAAATATCGCCCCTCGCAATTATACAGTCGTTTGGTTGTTGGGCTGCCGCAAGTGGGAAAACAGCCCAAAATGGGCGGGGTTACGTCTACGGACCATTCGTAGAAATGTTTACCAGCAATCACTGACTAACCGTGGAACCCGACTGACTAGCCGTGTGACGAACTCACTAATTCTGATTGTCTATAGCGTTCCACTGACCGTACGTAATAGCGGGACCCTAATACTTAGCGCCGATGTACTTTCCCTTTTCTTTTCATGGAGGGGGGAGAGAGCATCTGCGCAGCAGTTGTTTTTTTTGGATTTCCCCTTGACAAGTGGAATCCGCTGCAGGAGCATCGACGGACAGATGCTGTTTGACAGACTGAATCGACAGACAGATTCGAGTTGGCATTTCAGGAATTTCGCAGGAGTTTGCGAAAGTTGAAGGTGCGTTTATATTGACCGCCTGAGGCGAAATCGACTACGGTTACAGGACTGATTGAGAGTTCGTCCTTGAGCTGATGGGACTTCGCTGACTTTCGTTAGACACAGACGCGTGTTCTTGCATGTGTCGCAACGCGAATGACCTCGCACTTGACGAATGGCTGGAGTTCGTGACTTTGCGAAATACGACGCGTTGTTTCTGCGAGTGTCACGACTCATGTGGAATTAAACGAGCGATCTACAGTTGTGGAACTACGGACAAGTTTGGCGCTATGCAGAAGATTCGGCTTGCCAACTTGCAGCCGCGTGAATATCGTAGTGTTACTGTGCGGATACAATACACGACGACGGGGTTTGTAATTATCGGCGAAGGATTCGCTGGAGACAAGGAAGCTGTGGTGCGGTAGTATCCCTACTGCCCATTTGGTTATCTGGGTAATTCTACCAATATTCGACGGCTACGATCGATTGCGATCGAAAGCATTAACTCCCACGTGGCATCACCATGCTTCCAATTGTCATTCCACGTTAAGAAAACTCTATAACACACCGTCCTTGACCTACTAACATGTTCAGGGACCCGTGCATCGTCCTGCATCCGACCGAGATCGTCCACAGTCAACATGGGTCTCTTTCCAGGTTTTTGGCCTCAAGTGAGCTTCGAGCTTTCCCCCTGAAAAAGAGTTGACCGTCTCAACCACTGCATATGAGTTTTGCAACTTGCACCGACATCAACTTCTTTATGGCATTGGTTGAGCACCCATTTGGTTCAGACCCCTTGTAGGGAGTGCTCCGATTGGGTCCTCCTCTTTTTCCCTGGTTCCAATGGGCCTGAATCCTACCCTCCCCAACCCAAGGGTCAATGACGCCGCCTCGCAACGAGTGGGGGCCACCTAGCCATAGGCGGATTGGGATACGAAAACCGACAGCATATTACCAGTGTCAAGAAGTTTGTAGGGACCGAGCGGACCCAAAGAGTAACCATCCTCCTTGGGTATTCCACCTTGCTTGTGGTTCGAGGGCCAGTTCCTCCTCCCCCTATTTTACCAGGTGATCCTCCGCACCTGGAGAGCTTGCCGCCCCCTCCACTGGGGTCTGTGCACACCAACCCTTCGAAGAGCGTCCATGCGCACGTCTCACGGGACGCTCCCCCCCGGATCACAGAGTGCCACCCTCCGTGGCCCGGGCTGGTGCCTCATAGGACCTCATGACAAGCTCGACTTCATACATAGGTAATCCGCCTTGCTTGTGGTTCGAGAGCCAGTTCCTCCTCTCCCCATTTTACCAGGTGATCCTCCGCACCTGGAGAGCTCCCCGGCCCCTCCGCTGGGGTCTGTGCGCGCCAACCCTCCGAAGAGAGTCCATGCGCACGGCTCACGGGACGCTCCCCCCCCGGATCACAGAGTGCCGCCCTCCGTGGCCTGGGCCGGTGCCTCATAGGACCTCATGACAGGCTCGACTTCATACCTAGGTAATCCGCCTTACTTGTGGTTTGAGGGCCAGTTCTCTTTTCCCCGAATTATTACTATGGAAAGGCCTCGGATTACCTTGGCTTACCTACTTTTTAAGCAAACCGTCCTCCACAAAGATTAGTGAGAAGAGGTGAAAAGCCACTTCCCCCTAACATTCTTAGGCTAACCACATGGATTACGTTGGGTTACCATCGTTTGAGGCAATCAACTGCCCCGTGCCAAGGGTCGGGGAGAGGTAGAGAACCCCTTCCCCCGAGTATTCTTAGGCCAACCACCCGGATTACGTTGGCTTACCGTCGTTTGAGGCAATCTATTCCCACATGCCAAGGGTTGGGGAGAGGTAGAGCACCCCTCCTCCCAGGGATTCTTAGGCTAATGACCTGGATTACGTTGGCTTACCATCGTTTGGCGCAATCGATTCCCAAATGCCAAGGGTTGGGGAGAGGTGGAGCACCCCTCCCGCCCAGTATTCTTAGGCCAATGACCTGGATTACGTTGGCTTACCGTCGTTTTGGGGCAATCGATTCCCCGTGGCAAGGGTTGGGGAGAGGTAGAGCACTCCTCCCCTCCATTGTTCTTAGGCTAGTGACCTGGATTACGTTGGCTTACCATCATTTGGGGCAATCGATTTCCCCATGGCAAGGGTTGGGGAGAGGTAGAGCACTCCTCCCCTTTGTTGTTCTTAGGCCAGTGACCTGGATTACGTTGGCTTACCGTCATTTGGGGCAATCTATTCCCACATGCCAAGGGTTGGGGAGAGGTAGAGCACCCCTCCCCTCCTGTATTCTTAGGCCAATGACCTGGATTACGTTGGGTTACCGTCGTTTGGGCAATCGGATGGCCCATGCCAAGGGTTGGGGAAAGATAGAGCACCCCTCCCCTCAGGTATTCTTAGGCCAGTGACCTGGATTACGTTGGGTTACCGTCATTTGGGGCAAACCGTATGACCCATGCCAGGGGTCGGGGAGAGGTAGAGCACCCCTTCCCTCCGGTATTCTTAGGCAAACCACCTCGATTACGTTGGCTTACCGTCGTTTGGGGCAATCGATTCCACCATGCCAGGGGTTGGGGAGAGGTAGAGCACCCCTCCCCTCCGGCATTCTTAGGCCAACCACCTAGATTACGTTGGGTTACCGTCGTTTGGGGCAATCCAAATCGCCCATGCCAGGGGTTGGGGAGAGGTAAAGCACCCCTCCCCTCCGGTATTCTTAGGCCAATGACCCCGATTACGTTGGCTTACCGTCGTTTGGGGCAACCGAATGCCCCAAGCCAAGGGTTGGGAGAGGTAGAGCACCCCTCCCCTCCGGTATTCTTAGGCCAATGACTTGGATTACGTTGGGTTACCGTCGTTTGGGGCAATCGGATGGCCCATGCCAAGGGTTGGGGAGAGGTGGAGCACCCCTCCCCCCTCGTATACTTAGGCCAATGACCTGGATTACGTTGGGTTACCGTCGTTTGGGGCAATCGGATGGCCCATGCCAAGTGTTGGGGAGAGGTGGAGCACCCCTCCCCTCCTGTATTCCTAGGCCAATGACCTGGATTACGTTGGGTTACCGTCGTTTGGGGCAATCAAGTCCCCGGAACCCAAGTGATGGAATCCATCCGGATCGGACCCCGGATGGGTTCGATCGAACACATTCGGATGGAACCCATCCGGATCTGGATCGATCGAACCCATTCGGATCCGAGTCGATCGAACCCATCCTTATCGAGCCGATCCGGATCTGGATCGATCGAACTCGTGTGGATAAAACCCATCCGGATCCGGATCCGGATCAATGGAACCCATTCGGATGGAACCCATCCGGATCCGGATCGATCGAACCCATCCGGATCCGAGTCGATCGAACCCATTCGGATAGAACCCATCCTTATCGAACCCATCCGGATCTGAGTCAATCGAACCCATTCGGATCGATCCCAGCCGGGTCCGGATCGATCGGATCCGTCCGGATCCGGATCAAATGAACCCTTTTGGACCCAAGCCCATCCGGATCCGACTCGATCGAACCCATCCGGATCCGAGTCGATCGAACCCATTCGGATCGAACCCATCCTTATCGAACCCATCCGGATCCGGATCGATCGAACCCATCCGGATCCGGTTCGATCGAACCCATTCGGATGGAATCGATCTGGATCCGAGTCGATCGAACCAATCCGGATCCGAGTCGATCGAAACCCATTCGGATCGAACCCATCCGGATCCGAGTCGATCGAAACCATTCGGATCGAACCCATCCTTATCGAACCCATCCGTATCTGGATCGATCGAAACCCATCCGGATCCGGTTCGATCGAACCGATTCGGATGGGAATCGATACGGATCCGAGTCGATCGAACCCATTTGGATCGAACCCATCCGGCAGTGCGGATCGATCGAAACCCCATTCGGATCCGGATCCGATCGAACCCATTTGGATCGAACCCATCCGGATCCGGATTCACCGGCCCCATTCATATCGAACCCACCCCGGATCGATCGAACCCATTCGGGTCCCGGATCGATCGAAACCATCGAGAGGGTCAAAGGGCCTAGGGTAGGGTATTCCTATTGCCAATGGCCTGCATTGCGTTGGGTTACGATTTTTGGGGCGGATCAAGAACCGGAAAACCCCAAGTGATGGGGAAGTGGTAGAGATGCCCATCCCTAGAGTATTCCTAGGCCTATGACCTGGATTACGTTGGGTTACCGTCGTTTGGGGCAATCCGAAAACATATGGCCAAATGATGGGGAGAGGAAAAATACCACTTCCCTAGGGTATTCCTAGGCCTATGACCTGGATTACGTTGGGTTACCGTCGTTTGGGGCAATCCAAAAACATATGGCGAAATGATGGGGAGAGGAAAAATACCACTTCCCTTGGGTATTCCTAGGCCTATGACCTGGATTACGTTGGGTTACCGTCGTTTGGGGCTATCCGAAAACACATGGCTGAATGATGGGGAGAGGAAAAATACCCCTTTGCTGGGGTATTAATAGGCCTATGGCCTGGATTACGCTGGGTTACCATCGTTTGGGGCAACCTGTTTATGCATTCATGGGATGCCAAGATTGTTGTGTGATGTCATCAATATGCTATCACATTCTGTCTGCCTCCCATCCCTTGTTTTCAATTCGCATGTATGGTTTGGACTGTGTGTTGAAAAGAATTTGTGTGGTGTGTGTTCTGGAGTTTGGGAATGTGTTTTGTGTTATTCTGTCTGAGCAGGTATTTGTGATGATAGATCTTGAGAAGATCTTTCCGACGCAACAAGAATCGCCTTCAATCGGAGCAAGAACGCGAAAGCTATGAAGATTCAAAGTTCATGAGCTTGCGTTACAATTGCGGCGGTTACAAAGTGAAGTTGTGGGGTGACTCTATATGGAGTTGGGACCTTTGGGGTTGGGGAAATTTGTCACTCTACTGTAACAGCTGCAAATTGGTTGGGAACAACCAAGCTAGGTTGGCAAGGGTGGCCAACTTGGTGGATTGGTTGGGAAGGGACAAATGTCAAAGTTGGGGTTCCTATAGGGGGGGAATCTTTGTGCTTATGGGGTTTCCTTGGTTGGGGACTCTCTTGGGACCTTCTCTCTCATCCCTCTCTTCCTATCCCAACCTTTCTCTTGCTCCTTCTAATTCCTTGTGAGATTCTTGAACTTTGATTGAACTTTTGAGATTGAGTTTAAGTTCTCCTCCTACAGCTTACCCCCTAATGCGTCGAAAGCCATAGCGTCGCGAATACTTCATCAATCAACGTGATTTGAAATTGGGAACGGTAGCTAAGATTAAGAGCTACAAACATATCCAAGTTTTCGCGACATTCCAACGGCTAGTTTTTGTCGACGTCGTTTCTTGTGAAGACGACTTTTTCTGTCCAGAATTTCGGATTTATATTTTGAGTAATTCTAGCTCCTAAGTTCACCTAGACTCCGTCCTTAATCCTAACAAGTGGTATCAGAGCCATATTAAGGACATTGAGAGGAGTCTACAGAAGTTGTGAAGACCCTTCTAGACCCACCATGGCCTGTGGGTGTGCCTAAGTGGTGTTCTAAAGGTTGGATGTGTCTTCCGCTAAGGGGAAACTCTGCCGAAATTTCGTGGACGCCGATACTTGTGAAAATATCGAGGGAGCTGAGTGTGGACAGCAAAGGGGAGCTGAAATTTCGTCATTTCTCAAGGAGAAGATGAATGAGAGAGGAGGAGATGCTAATGGAAGAGGAGCTGTACCTGAGAAGACAAGTGAGCCGCCGCCATCAAAAGTTGAAGCTTTGGATGGCTCCAACTATGAGGAATGGAGCGGGCGGATGAGGAGTGCCTTCAAACGCTACAAGCTACTGAAGATTGTTGTTGGGAGAGAAGATGCCGGAAGAAGGCGAAGCACGTGAACGGTGGATTGAGAAAAGCACGGTGCTTTTCGACCTCATCTTCAATCGGTCAACAAGGAGATGTTCGAGCACATCAAGGATCTTGTGGAAGCGGATGATTCGGGTCCAAGGGCGTGGAAACTACTACGCGATGTGATTCAGCCCAACACTCTCCGATGGTGATCGTGCTCGAGAAGGAACTTGCTGCCATCTCCATGCGACCAGGGGACGATGTGAAGCCGGTCCTTGACAAGATCAAGGACACCTATGCAAGGATGGCAGCAGCGGGCAGCAGTGTATCTCAGCTGCAGCAGTGCACCAAGATCATCTCGGTGTTGGACAACTCTTGGGACAACCTCATCCCCACCCTCAACTCTCAGCAAGATCAATGGACACCTGAGTGGCTAAGGCAGCAGATTCTGCAGGAGGACTTCCGCAGACGCCATGTGGGAGGTGGTGCTTCCACTAAGACTGCTGAGGGGTATGGAGCTGCAGGGCGCGGCAGAGGAAGAGGGGGTTGGAGAGGCCGAGGCCGTGGGAGGAGCTTTGGCAGAGGTAGAGGCCGAGGTGACTATAATGAGGGGCATGGGAGCTCTAGTGGCAGGGGAGTACCAGAATGGAGGGCACCTGCTGGTACTGCAAGAAGGTCGGGCATCCTTGGTTCAAGTGCTTCAGCAGGCCGGAGGGATGGGCACCTCCAGGCATGAAGCCGCCCAGTGGTGAACGCGCACAAGGTGGCGCTGTGCAAGGCTCAGGTGCACAAGGTGAAGGTGCACAAGGTAACGCCTATCCTGGGATGTTTCTCATGGTTGAGGATGTGCATGGGCATGAGGGTGATGTGGGATCTGTGGGAAAGGTTGTGATGCACCCTCTCACGCACTGGGTGATTGATTCGGGTTGCACCAGTCACATGACCCCACGGGCAGATTTGCTTGATGAGGTAAAACCCCCTGGGAAGATTAAGTATGTGGCAGCAGCGTCAGGTGCTTTGCTCCCTGTCATTGTGTTGGGAATGCCAGGTTAAGGGAGCTAATGGGGAGCTTGTGGGGCTTGGGAATGTTCTGCTGGTTGAAGGTTTGTCTGCTAACCTTCTCTCTGTGCGGCGACTGCAGAAGAGTAAGGCCGAAGTGACCTTTGGACCAACCAGCTGCCGTGCTAAGCTTGGGAAGAAGGTGTTGTGGAGTCTGGAAGAGGAGACCAGCTGCATCAAGGACCTGTGGCAGCTGCCCATCATCCCTTGGAATGGGAAGACTCCAACAGCAGCAACGGCAGCAGCGGCAAAGGCAACAGGAGGAGGAGATGCAACTACACCAACTGATGGGGTCCTGCAGGCAGTCAAGAAAGTGCAGAAGCAGCTGACACATGGCGAGGTGCTTGCTGGTGTGGATGCGAGCGCGGCATGGGCTAAGGCTTCATCAAGGAGTGGTGAGGCCGATTGGGAGACATGGCATGAGAGGCTGTGTCATGTGAACTTCCCTATGCTGCAGAAGTTGGTGAAGGATGGGAGCCTGAAGGGCTTGGAGGTGAAAGGGGGAGTGAAGGAGATTGGGAGCTGCCCTACATGCTTGGAGACCAAGTTCTCCAAGTTCCCCTTCAACAGCACTACAGGACCAGCCAAGACCCCACTCGCACTTTGCACATGGATGTGGTGGGGCCCACAAGAGCCCTTTCCCTCTCAGGCAGCCGCTATTTCTTGACAATTGTGGATGACCACACTCGGGCAGTGTGGGTTTACCCTTTGAAGAGCAAGGGGGAGGTGGCAGCGGCTGTCCTTAAGGAGTGGATGCCTAGAGCTCAGAGGGAATGCGGACACAAGGTGAAGGTGATCCGCAGTGACAATGGTGGGGAGTTCATTGGAGCTGATTTTGAGGGGGAGTTGAAGAGGAAGGGAATCCAGCATCAACTGACAATGCCCTACAACCCGCAGTAGAATGGCATGGCTGAGAGGTTCAACAGGACCCTGCAGGAGGGGGCACGCACTCTCCTTGGGCGTGCAGGGCTGCCTGATCCGTTTTGGGTGTCTGCACTGAGGCAGGTCGTCCTTGTGAAGAACAGGGTGCTGGCTACATTGGGGATAAGGAGTGGGTCCCATATACCAAGTGGTATGGGAGTGCTCCAGCTGTGAACATGCTGAGGGCATTTGGGTGCATGGTGGTGTTTCATGTGCCTAAGGAGAAAAGGGGGAAGTTGGAGGCTTCTGGAAGATGGGGTGTGCACTTGGGGATTGCAAAGGATCACAAGGGATGGCTGCTATGGGACTTGACCACCCAGAAGCTGACAGTGTCAAGGGATGTGAAGTTTCTTGAGTCCCTGTACTACAAGCAATGGAAGCAGCAGCAACAGAAGCTTCCATCTACACCACTCATTGTGGAGGCAGATGAGTTGCAGCAGCCTGCAAGGCAGGTGGAGGTTGCAGTGTGTCCGGAGGAGATGTCTGGGGTGACTGAAGAAAGGGGAGCAGCTGAAGTGGAGCAGCAGCAGCAGCAGTATGAGTCTCCACCTCAAGTTCCACACCCGCCTGAGCGACCTAGGAGGGATGTGCACCCTCCTGTGAGGCTGACCTATGGGGGAAGAGGCAAGCTGAATGTGGTGCAGGCTGGGAGTGTGGTTGAGCAGATTGAGGAAGATGAGATCGCTCACTGCTACTGGGCACCAATCCCTGAGCCCAAGACTCGAGAGGAGGCCTTGAATGGACCAAATGGGGAGAAGTGGAAGGCGAGTGAGGATGAGGAGTTCGGGTCCCTGATTGAGAACGAGACATGGGACCTGTGTGACTTGCCTCCTGGGAAGAAGGCAATCACTTCCAAGATGATCTACAGGCACAAGTATGGACCTGAAGGGGAGCTGACCCGCTACAAGTCTAGGCTTGTGGCACGGGGGTTTCAGCAGACAAAGGGGAAGGACTATGATGAGGTGTTTGCTTCTGTGGGGAAAGGAACAACACTGAGGGTGCTGTTGGCGATAGCTGCACTCCTGGGATGGAAGATACGACAGATGGACATTGTGACTGCCTTTCTTAATGGGATCATTCTGGAGGAGGTGTACATGAAGCAGCCAGAGGGGCTGGATGATGGGAGCGGCAGGGTCTGCAGGCTGAAGAAGGCCATCTATGGCCTTAAGCAGGCGCCTCGTGCATGGTATCACAAGTTGGAGGAGGCGCTGTTGGCTGGGGGTTTCAAGAAGAGTGAGTGTGACCCCAGCCTGTTCCTGCTACAGGAGAAGGATGAAATCCTCATGCTCCTGGTGTATGTGGATGATATCCTTCTCTGCATCAACTGCTTTGCTGGACAGCGCAGAGCAGATGCTGGAGATGCAGTTCAAGTGCTCCAAGATGGGTGAGGTGAAGTACTACTTGGGGATGCACGTGGAGAGAGATGTGGAAAAGGGTGTGCTGAGGTTGCACCAGAGGAAGTACTGTGAGGGGCTGGCTGAGAAGTATGGGCTGCAAGATGGGGGAAAGCCAGCAACACCACTACCTTCGGGGTTTACTGTGGAGCCATGTGCTGATGAGGAGGTAGTGGGTGAGAGTGACAGGAAGCTGTTTCATTCGATGGTTGGGTCGCTGAATTATGCTGCAAATCATACACGGCCTAACATTGCATTTGCTACATCACGGTTGGCTAGTGTGGTCTCACGCCCTAGTCATGAGCAGCTGGAAGCGGCCAAGAGGTTGGTCCGCTATGTGAGCGCTACGGCATCAGTGGGATTGGAGTACAGTGGAGTGAGGCAGCGGTTGCAGAGAGGTGCTGCAGATGTGAAGAGTGGAGAGATGCTCTTGAGTTGCTATACTGACGCTAGCTTCAACTCAGTGAAAGCGGATGGCACCAGCATTGGGGGTTATGTGTGCTTGCTAGGAGGTGGTGCTGTGAGCTGGCGCAGCAAGAAGCAGAATGAGGTGGGATTGACCTCATGTGAGACTGAGTACATGGCCTTACACCATGGGGCCAAGGAAGTGGTGTGGCTCAGGCGCTTGCTGGAGGAGTTGGGAGTTGGTCAGAAGGAGCCGACGGTGATCTTCTGTAACAATGAGTCTGCCGTGAAGCTCGCCAAGAATGCTTGTCTGCATGGGCTGACAAAACACATAAGGCCTAAGTGGCACTGGGTGAGGAGATTCCTTGATAAGGAGGTGCGGCTGGAGATAGTGAAGACCCATCAGCAGGCAGCAGATATTTTCACCAAGCGTCTGGCGGAGGCGGATCATTGGAAGGGCATGAAGCTTGCTGGGATGAGTGTGCATTGAGTATGCATGCTTGAGATGTTGGTATGGTGGATGATGGTTGGCAGCCAGAGGGGGAGATTGTTGTGTGATGTCATCATATGCTATCACATTCTGTCTGCCTCCCATCCCTTGTTTCAATTCGCATGTATGGTTTGACTGTGTGTGAAAGAATTTGTGTGGTGTGTGTTCTGGAGTTTGGGAATGTGTTTTGTGTTATTCTGTCTGAGCAGGTATTTGTGAGGATAGATCTTGAGAAGATCTTTCCGACGCAACAAGAATCGCTTCAATCGGAGCAAGAACGCGAAAGCTATGAAGATTCAAAGTTCATGAGCTTGCGTTACAATTGCGGCGGTTACAAAGTGAAGTTGTGGGGTGACTCTATATGGAGTTGGGACCCTTTGGGGTTGGGGAAATTCGTCACTCTACTGTAACAGCTGCAAATTGGTTGGGAACAACCAAGCTAGGTTGGCAAGGGTGGCCAACTTGGTTGGATTGGTTGGGAAGGGACAAATGTCAAAGTTGGGGTTCCTATAGGGGGGAATCTTTGTGCTTATGGGGTTTCCTTGGTTGGGGACTCTCTTGGGACCTTCTCTCTCATCCCTCTCTTCTATCCCAACCATTCTCTTGCTCCTCTGATTCCTTGTGAGATTCTTGAACTTTGATTGAACTTTTTGAGATTGAGTTAAGTTCTCCTCCTACAGCTTACCCCCTAATGCGTCGAAAGCCATAGCGTCACGAATACTTCATCAATCAACGTGATTTGAATTGGGAACGGTAGCTAAGATTAAGAGCTACAACATATCCAAGTTTCGCGACATTCCAACGGCTAGGTTTTTGTCGACGTTGTTTCTTGTGAAGACAACTTTTCTGTCCAGAATTTAGGATTTATATTTTGAGTAATTCTAGCTCCTAAGTTCACCTAGACTCCGTCCTTAATACTAACAAAGATTGACCCTTGGGACCCCCCAGCCGGTTCATTTGACCCCAAGGGCGGATTTGAACCGGCCCATGGGTTCATCCAACCCTTGGGACAATCCCCCCACGGTTTTTTTTACCTCCCATCCGGTTCATTTGACCCCAAGGGCGGATTTGAACCGGCCCATGGGTTCATCCAACCCTTGGGACCATCCCCATTCGGTTATTTGACTCCCCACCCGGTTCATTTGACCCCAAGGGCGGATTTGAACCGGCCCATGGGTTCGTCCAACCCAAGAGCCCATCCCCTCTCGGTTATTTGACCCCCAGCCGGTTCATTCAACCCCAAGGGCGGATTTGAACCGGCCCATGGGTTCATCCAATTCAAGAGCCCATCCCCCCTCGGTTATTTGACCCCCCAGCCAGTTCATTTGACCCCGAGGGCGGATTCAAACCGGCCCATGGTTTCGTCCAACCCTTGGGACCATCCCCCCTCAGTTTCTTTACCCCTAGGGCGGATCTGCATCGGCCCATGGGTTCATCCAACCCTAGTGCTCACAGGCTTCCCGTGTAATCGAATTCCAACCGGGCAAAAAGGGCTCCAGGGCGGGTGTGAGCCCTTTCAAGGCACGACAACACCCTAGAGCCCACAAGCCCTTCCGGTGTGGTCAATTTCCAACCGGGAAAAAAAGGGCTCTAGGGCGGGTGTGAGCCCTTTCGAGGCACCACACCACCCTAGAGCCCACAAGCCCTTCCGCTGTAGTCACTTTCCAACCGGGCAAAAAGGGCTCTAGGGCGGGTGTGAGCCCTTTCGAGGCACCACACCAACCAAGAGCCAACGAGCATCCGGATATGACCGGATGGATCGGATGCCTTTTTTTCCCCCAGGGCACCGCACGACCTAGTACAAGGCAAGGCGAGCACCCAAGGGGCAAGCCCATCGGGTTCGCCCGATCGAACCCATCCGGATCCATCGATCGAACCCATCCGGATCTGACCATCAAACCCATTCGGGTCGACTGACCGAACCCATCCGGATCGAACCAACGAAACCATCTGGATCCATCGATCGACCCCATCCGGATCGATGGATCGAGCCCATCCGGATCCATCGATCGAACCCATCCGGAGACCCATCTGGGTCGATCGACCGAACTCATCCCAACCCATCGACCGAACCCATCCGGATCCGACCGTCGAGCCCGTCCGGTTCGATCGATCGAGCCCACTTGGATCGGACCGTCGAGCCCATCTGGATCAATCGACCGAGCCCATCCCGCTCCAACCATCGAACCCATCCGGATCCAACCGTCGAGCCCATCCGGATCAATCGATCAAATCCATCGGGATCAAACCATCGAGCCCATCAAGTTCCAGCGATCCAACCCATCCGGATCGATCGAACGAGCCCATCCGGATCGGTCGACCGAGCCCATCCGGATCCATGGATCGGGCCCATCCGGATCCATCAATGGAACCCATCCGGATTCCATCGATCGAACCCACCCAGATCGATGGACCAAGCCCATCCGGATCCATCGACCGAACCCATCCGGGTCGATCGACCGAACCCATCCGGGTCGATCGACCGAGCCCATCCGGATCCATCGATCGTGCGGATCGGTCGGACAAACCCATCCGGATCCGTCGATCGAACCCATCCGGACACATCGATCGAGCCCATGCGGATCCAATCGACCGGGCCCAAACGGATCCTTGTCGATCGACCGGACCCATCGGAATCCAGCCCCATCCGGATCCATCGATCGAACCCATCCGGATCGATCGACAGAACCCATCCGGACCCGGGCCGATCGATCGAGCCCATCCGAATCCAGCCCCATCCAGATCCGAATCGATCGACCGGACCCCCTCCGGACCGGGGCCGATCGACCGAACCCATCCGGATCCAGCCCCATCCGGACTCGGGTCGATCGACCGGACCCATCCGGACCCGGGCCGATCGATCGACCAAACCCATCCGGATCCATCGACCGAACCCATCCGTATCCATCGATCGAACCCATCCGGATCCGAATCGATCGACCGGACCCCATCCGGACCCGGGCCGATCGTCCGGACCCATCCAAATCCAGCCCCATCCGGATCCGGATCGATCGACCGGGCCCCATTCGGACCCAAATCGATCGACCGGACCCATCCGAATCCAGCCCCATCCGGATCCGATTTCGATCGACCGGGCCCCATCCGGACCCCCATCGATCGACCGGACCCATCCGGCCTAGGGTCGATCAACTGGACCCATCCGGATCGATCGATCGAACCCATCCGAATCCGACCGAATCTGGATCCGAATCGATCGATCGGACCCCATCCGGACCCGGGCCGATCGTCCGGACCCATCCAAATCCAGCCCCATCCGGATCCGGATCGATCGACTGGGCCCCATTCAGACCCGAATCGATCGCCCGGACCCATCCGAATCCAGCCCCATCCGGATCCGAATCTATGGACCGGGCCCATCCGGACCCCAATCAATCGACCGGACCCATCCAGATCGGATCGGTCGAACCCATCCGAATCCAGCCCCATCCGGATCCGAATCGATCGACCGGGCCCCATCCGGACCCGAATCGATCGACCGGACCCATCCGGATCGGATCGATCGAACCCATCCGAATCCAGCCCCATCCGGATCCGAATTGATCGACCAGACCCCCATCTGGACCCGGGGCCGATCGTCCGGACCCATCCGGCTCCAGCCCCATCCGGATCCGGATCAATCGACCGGGCCCCATTCGGACCCAAATCGATCGACCGACCCATCCGAATCCAGCCCCATCCGGATCCGATTTCGATCGACCGGGCCCCCATCCGGACCCCCATCGATCGACCGGACCCATCCAGATCAGATCAGTCAAACCCATCCGAATCCAGCCCCATCCGGATCCGAATCGATCGACCGGACCCCATCTGGACCCGGGCCGATTGTCCGGACCCATCCGAATCCAGCCCCATCCGATCCGGATCGATCGATGGGGCCCCATTCGGACCCAAATCGATCGACCGGACCCATCCGAATCCAGCCCCATCCGGATCCGATTTTGATCGACCGGCCCCATCCGGACCCCATCGTTCGGCCGGACCCCATCCGGACCCCAATCGATCGACCGGACCCATCCGGCCCCGGGTCGATCGACTGGACCCATCCGGATCGATCGATCGAACCCATCCGAATCCGACCGCATCCGGATCCGAATCGATCGATCGGACCCCATCCGGACCCGGGCCGATCGTCCGGACCCATCCGAATCCAGCCCCATCCGGATCCGGATCGATCGACTGGGCCCCATTCAGACCCGAATCGATCGATCGGACCCATCCGAATCCAGCCCCATCCGGATCCGAATCGATCAACCGGGCCCCATCCGGACCCCAATCGATCGACCGGACCCATCCGGATCGGATCGATCGAACCCATCCGAATCCAGCCCCATCCGGATCCGAATCGATCGACCGGACCCCATCCGGACCCGGGCCGATCGTCCGGACCCATCCAAATCCAGCCCCATCCGGATCCGGATCCGGATCGATCGACCGGGCCCCATTCGGACACAAATCGACCGACCGGACCCATCCGAATCCAGCCCCATCCGGATCCGATTTCGAACGACCGGGCCGCATCTGGAACCCCATCGATCGACCGGACCCATCCGGATCAGATCGGTCGAACCCATCCGAATCCAGCCCCATCTGGAACCGAATCGATCGACCGGACCCCATCTGGACCCGGGCCGATTGTCCGGACCCATCCGAATCCAGCCCCATCCGGATCCGGATCGATCGACGGGGCCCCATTCGGACCCAAATCGATCGACCGGACCCATCCGAATCCAGCCCCATCCGGACCCCCATCGATCGGCCGGACCTCATCCGGACCCCAATCGATCGACCGGACCCATCCCCCGGGTCGATCGACTGGACCCATCCGGATCGATTGATCGAACCCATCCGAATCCGACCGCATCCGGATCCGAATCGATCGATCGGACCCCATCCGGACCCGGGCCGTTCGTCCGGACCCATCCGAATCCAGCCCCATCCGGATCCGGATCGATCGACTGGGCCCCATTCAGACCCGAATCGATCGACCGGACCCATCCGAATCCAGCCCCATCCGGATCCGAATCGATCGACCGGGCCCCATCCGGACCCGAATCGATCGACCGCACCCATCCGGATCGGATCGATCGAACCCATCCGAATCCAGCCCCATCCGGATCCGAATCGATCGACCGGACCCCATCCGGACCCGGGCCGATCGTCCGGACCCATCCAAATCCAGCCCCATCCGGATCCGGATCCGGATCGATCGACCGGGCCCCATTCGGACACAAATTGACCGACCGGACCCATCAGAATCCAGCCCCATCCGGATCCGATTTTGATCGACCGGGCCCCATCTGGACCCCCATCGATCGACCGGACCCATGCAGATCAGATCAGTCGAACCCATCCGAATCCAGCCCCATCCGGATCCGAATCGATCGACCGGACCCCATCTGGACCCGGTCCCGATTGTCCGGACCCATCCGAATCCAGCCCCATTCGGATCCGGATCGATCGACCGGGCCCCATTCGGACCCAAATCGATCGACCAGACCCATCCGAATCCAGCCCCATCCGCATCCGATTTTGATCGACCGGGCCCCATCCGGACCCCATCGATCGGCCGGACCCCATCCGGACCCCAATCGATCGACCGGACCCATCCGGCCCCGGGTCGATCGACTGGACCCATCCGGATCGATCGATCGAACCCATCCGAATCCGACCGCATCCGGATCCGAATCGATCGATCGGACCCCATCCGGACCCGGGCCGATCGTCCGGACCCATCCGAATCCAGCCCCATCCGGATCCGGATCGATCGACGGGGCCCCATTCGGACCCAAATCGATCGACCGGACCCATCCGAATCCAGCCCCATCCGGACCCCCATCGATCGGCCGGACCTCATCCGGACCCCAATCGATCGACCGGACCCATCCGGCCCCGGGTCGATCGACTGGACCCATCCGGATCGATTGATCGAACCCATCCGAATCCGACCGCATCCGGATCCGAATCGATCGATCGGACCCCATCCGGACCCGGGCCGTTCGTCCGGACCCATCCAAATCCAGCCCCATCCGGATCCGGATCGATCGACTGGGCCCCATTCAGACCCGAATCGATCGACCGGACCCATCCGAATCCAGCCCCATCCGGATCCGAATCGATCGACCGGGCCCCATCCGGACCCCAATCGATCGACCGGACCCATCCGGATCGGATCGATCGAACCCATCCGAATCCAGCCCCATCCGGATCCGAATCGATCGACCGGACCCCATCCGGACCCGGGCCGATCGTCCGGACCATCCAAATCCAGCCCCATCCGGATCCGGATCCGGATCGATCGACCGGCCCCATCGGGACAAATCGATCGACCGGACCCATCCGAATCCAGCCCCATCGGATCCGATCGATCGACGGGCCCCATGGACCCCAATCGATCGACCGGACCCATGCGGTCGATCGATCGAACCCATCCGAATCCGACCCATCGGATCCGAATCGATCCGGACCCCATCGGACCCGGGCCGATGTCCGGACCCATCCAAATCCAGCCCCATCCGGATCCGGATGGATCGACGGGCCCCATTCGGACCCAAATCGACGACCGGACCCATCCGAATCCAGCCCCATCCGGATCCGATTTCGATCGACCGGGCCCCATCCGGACCCCCATCGATCGACCGGACCCCATCCGGACCCGAATCGATCGACCGGACCCATCCCCGATCCAGACCCATCCGGATCGATTCGATCGCCCATCCGATCCGACCCATCCGGATCCGAATCGATCGATCGGACCCCATCCGGACCCCGATCGACCGGACCCATCCGAATCCAGCCCCATTCGGATCCGAATCGATGGACCGGGCCCCATCCGGACCCCAATCGATCGACCGGACCCATGCGGGTCGATCGATCGAACCCATCCGAATCCGACCGCATCCGGATCCGAATCGATCGATCGGACCCCATCCGGACCCGGGCCGATCGTCCGGACCCATCCAAATCCAGCCCCATCCGGATCCGGATGGATCGACCGGGCCCCATTCGGACCCAAATCGACCGACCGGACCCATCCGAATCCAGCCCCATCCGGATCCGATTTCGATCGACCGGGCCCCATCCGGACCCCCATCGATCGACCGGACCCATCCGGACCCGAATCGATCGACCGGACCCATCCGAATCCAGCCCCATCCGGATCCGATTTCGATCGACCGGGCCCCATCCGGTTCCGAATCGATCCATCCCATCCGG